TGACTTTTTTCATTAATATTTGTTTATAATGTCAAATCATAATGAAATGACTAATGTATCCCTAGCCAATTGGAAAATTACACATTTTTACCCTTTCATTTTCCATCTATGGAGGGTAATTTCGTAATTTTTCTTTTGGCTTATAACCAACATCCCAAATCAATTTATGGCAAAAAAAAGTCACTTTTTGCGTTTTGGCTCACTTATAACCAACATCCCAAAATGAGCCAATGCTTACGAGAAAATGAGAATTGAATTCATCAAATACTCCCTCTGTTTATGATGCTTATGCTTTCTTTGAGTTCTTATTTACCATGCTGCATAAACAATTTGGGACAGAGGGAGTACGTCTTAGAGGGCTACACGGGTACAAACTAATCCAGGACCTTGTGCCAGTGCTAACACAATCCGAGCTTCTATTGCCGCTGGATTAATTATGGCTGTGAGGTGCTCGGAAGGCACAAGAAAAACATCCTAAATAAGCAATATATGAGTCAACTGAACAGAACTTTCTGTTGAAGATGAATATCGACAAAATAAAAACCTTCAACTCGCTCAGAACCGTGGAAAGTTGGGGTATTTTGTCAGAAGGAACATTCTGATACACCAAGAAAAAGTTCAATCTGCTATCGGACCAATTTTGAAGAAACAAATAAGCCAGTGTAAAATGGTGATCGGGGGGAGCAGCCCCGACATGAATAAAATGAGTTTGGTGTGCAGTTCGTCTTCTTCTGCTTTTTTTTTTTTTGTTCAATGTATCGCAATGACATAAACAGAGAGGTAGTGGGAGAAAATAAAGGATAAAAGAAAATAAATGTGAAGAGAAGTAGGAGAATGTTAAAGTAATAAAAAAAGGAAAGGTGAGATGCAAAGTTGGGCGGATCCTACCACTAATGGAAAAGTAAGTAAAAGATATATACTAATGAAAAGTAATCAAAATATATATATGTGGGTGTGTGGGTCTGGGTGGAAGGGTTGATAAAAAGGGTCAAAGAGCACATGGATTGTGGATGCTGAGTGTGTGCATAATAATAATAAAATGAATGAGTGGAGAGAGGGTTTTATGTGTAAATAAAAGAAGAGTGGTGGTTGGTCAGAGTGGTGGGTGAGACATGGTGGGAACACAGAGAATAAAAAAATAGAGGGTGAGGAATAGGATATGAGAGCCAGCAACTTCCCTGAGGAGGGTTCTCACAAAATGGACCTTTTTACTTGTTTTCCCCTTTCTATCAGAAGGGCGTGGAGCCAATTCCTTCTTGGTCACAACATGTCCTTTGTTTAGACCCACAAAGAGGCCAGTGTTAGGTTGCTTTGGAGCCATCACCAATTAGCTCCAACGACGATTTTCTGGGAAAACCCTCAATAGAAACTGAGGAGAGAGAGAGAGAGAGAGACCGCAAGAAGCCTACCAGAGGTGCAGATCATGCTCTCGCGGCATTTTCAGGGTATATGCAGCTCGGCGATACGTATTCAATGCTTGGGTAGCTGGATCGATCGATCGATTGTTATAAAGAGGGGTTGAAAATTCAGATGGAGGCTCTGGGAGACACAGATCCGAGAGTTGCAGAGACTTGCAGGTATTTGGCTGAGGCCCATGTTCAAGCAATGCAATTTGATGAAGCAGAAAATTTGAGCAAGAAGACTCTTGAAATCCATCGTGTGCACAGTCCACCAGCATCTCTCGAGGAAGTGGCAGACCGCAAGTTGATGGCCCTCATATGTGAGGCTAAAGGAGATTACAAATCAGCTCTTGAACACCTTGTCCTTGCCAGCAGGGCAATGATTGCCAATGGACAAGAAAATGAGGTTGCTTCAATTGATGTCAGCATTGGCAACATCTACATGTCCCTATCTCGCTTTGATGGGGCTGTCTTCTCCTACCAGAAGGCACTCACTGTCTTCAAATCATCAAAGGGTGACAGCCACCCTTCAGTTGCCTCTGTTTTTGTACGTCTTGTTGACCTATACTACAAGACAGGGAAGCTGCGAGAGTCCAGATCCTATTGTGAAAAATGCCCTTAGGATATATGCAAAACCTGTGCCTGGAACCACTGCAGAAGAGATTGCAAGTGAGATGACAGAAATTTCAGCCATTTATGAATCTTTTAATGAACCTGAGGAGGCACTGAAGCTCTTGCAGAAGGTCTTGCGAGTTGATGGAGGTCTCAAATTGGTTGAGGTCCGACGGACGGTCAAGGCAAGGTTGCCGCCCGCCGGAAGGCGAAGAATACCAAGAGCTTAACCTATTGCTCTGATACCATGTAGAAATTTAATGTATAAAGAGAAATGATTGTATTATTGATTGATTGTATTGATATATTACAATGATTCCTATATATAGAAAAGAGGATGTGAGAAGAGAATAGGTGAGTGTGTAGTAGGTATGGAGTAGGTGAGGAGTAGGTGGAGAGTAGGTGAAGTAGGTGAGTGTGTAGTAGGTGGTAGTGGTAGGTGTGTAGTAGGTGAATTTTAACATTTTTTGTTTTCTTCATGTACTTATGCTCCGACAGTGGGATGTTTTAATCAGTGCTTGAAAGAATTACAAGATGAGGGAAAATGGATTGTTTGTAGGTTTCTATCCAATTTGTCCTATGACAAGTGAACTAATGCATATTTTAAAGGACAAAAATACGGTAAATGCACTCAAATATGGCAGAGTCTTTCAATTCATGGATCTGTCAAGCTCGTCATTTGCCCACTACGAAGATGATTGATTCAATTAG